GGGAGGGCAATGCACATGCAGTCATTGCTTTCCAGTTCTTACCATGTGTTGGGTACCTCATGTAAGATCAAAGCTTGTATAACTCTTATGCAGGTAGCTAAGGAAAAGGGTTAGTTTCCTGCCTTCTTCTCTGTTTTATAATGCAGTAGCTGCTATAGCTGGCAGCTCCAAAGGAAGATTGTAGTGTGGAGGACACCCTGCTTTGTAGGGAACTTAAGGCAAGTCCTTTCTGCACTGCTGTCTGAGATCATTACCATGGGGTAGGAAATGAAAAAGGGTGGCCTATGCAGGTGGCGGTGCAGCCTGTTACCAGCAGTGAGGTGGTACATGGCTTCCTCACTATTTTCTTGTAAACATGGTTACAAAGATGCTTTAGAGAAGCTGTTTGTTTTTCTGCTGCCCCTGGTATGCTGCAGTGAGGAGAAAGGATGCAGCTGCATTCAGAATTAACTTGAGAAGAAGGGGACTTCAAGCATGGAACAAATGCCAACAGTTCTTTTGACATGCAAAAAATAAATGTGGAGGAGGTGTTTGCCACCTGCAAATTTATAAGGTATGAGGAGGGGTGCTAATGTGAAATGAACTTGAAAGAACAAAGCTCAGTTTGTGCTGGGCTGCTGCTCGCTTGTTCCAGTTCAGTCCAATCCACAGAGAGGAGAGAGGAACACAGGGATTGTCAGTTTGGGTCACTGTTAATGAGGAAAGTAAAGATGAGACATAATGACAGACAAAAAGCAAAAAGTGTTTTATAATTAACTTAATTGATAATTAACCTCAAATACAGGTGTCTCCCTTATATTATAAGGGGCAGCTGTCATCAGGAAACCTCCAGGGATAAAAATGGAGCACTGAGGTGTGGCATGCAACCCTGCTCACCTCTAGAATGACCTGGGCTTTTGCCCCCTGCTCTTGACACAAAGCTCCTGCTGAGGCAATGCCTGGAGATGGTTGGTAGCAGCAGGTGCTGGGAGGGCCTCTTGGACTTGTGCCAAATGGGAGTGTGGTTCCTAAGCACTCATTTGTCTTAAAGAGTGGTTAAGGGGGCTTTTCTTGAGGGTCTTGCTCCATTTCCTCTACTGTCTCCAGAGGCACCCCTAAGTTTCCTCCATGGATAACATACAACTGAAGGCTACCACAGTAACGATGGCACTGCAAGGGACCTTCAAATGACCACAAAATAACAGCCGTGCAAAAGACCTGTGGCACAAAAAGATCCAGAGAGCTCCTCAGTGAGGGCCTGTAACTGCGCAACCAAAAAGCCAGGCTTTCCTGGGGAGATTGTGAGTGGAAACTAACATGCCACGGGAAGTGGCACAGCCAACAGCAGTAGCACAGAATTACTTAAGGGCAAGTGCCTAGATAACCTTACAAGATGGATAACAGCCATGGATTCAAAGTTTCCATTCTAGTGCAAATATTTAGGTTGTAGGCATGAACAAGTTCTGAGACCAGCATCCCATTTAGATAGGCACTCTGAAAACCTACGTCTCCAAGTGCAAAAAAGAGGTGCAGTCTTGATTTGATGAAGACTCGGGGAAATTTGAGACTTCCTTGCAATCAAAAAGTGAAGGTTTTATATCTATATATAGAGAGTTTTTTTTTTTTCTGTAACTGTCACATCAATGTATTTCTTGGGCACAAGGTAGTGGCTGTGCCAGAGAAAACGTACCCAAGTAGTTTTTCCCCTGTCTAATGCAGGCCACGGAGGTGCAAGTTTATTTCTAGAATTGCAGTGGCATGGTGCTGTGTGGGTGCTGCTTCTGCGCTGAGCTACTGCGACTACTTGTAGCCCAGGAAGGCACGTGCATGGGACTGTTAGGAGAGATGTGGACTCTCCTTCTGTGGCTTCCCCTGGGCTTTCCCCACGTCTGCTCTGTGGGCCCTGCCTGAGAGCATGACTGCTTTTTCTTAGTGTGCCTTGCGAGAAGCAGAGTTTGCTTCACAGCAGATGAGCATAGAGGGGCTGCCCTCTCTTTAGGTACTTTAGGTACTGCCTGCAAAAGGAGGCAGCCTGCAAGCCATGGATGAAAAGATGTGAAGTGACAGCCAAAAAACAAAGCTACTATCAGTGCTTCTGGCAAGAAGTGGAGCCTTTTTCCCAGCTACAGAAATGAATAATTTAAGATATGCAGCATCAACAAATAAGAGCCAAACACCCTTATAGCGCTGCCTGCATCTGGACCCTGTGTCACCTGGACGCTACCAGCCCTGAACTTGCCAGGGAGTGTAGTGGAAGTGTGTGCTCAGTCCTGCCCAAACCAGCAGTAAGCCATTTCTCATGACACGAGTCATTAGTCATGACAGAGCTCCCCAAGGGCTGGGTTAGATTTTTCTCTTGCAGTAAGTCAGGAAAGAATAACCAGGCTGCATTTTTCAGTCATTTGCCTTTCCAAAACCTAATTCAAGGCATTTTTACAGAGCACTTGGAGCAGTCAACTGTCTGGCTTGAGCCTGTGCAAATCAAAACATGTACCAAGAGCTCAGGCCAGAGAGCTGGCGCTGGACAGTGCTTCCTGTGCTACAGAGCCTGAGGGTGGGTGGACAGTCTTACTTCCACCCAAGCAGCATCTGCCAGCTCTGGGGCACAGAAGTGGCTTGCAGGGGGCAACAATTCCCTCACTACTCCTGGCTTCCAGTAGGGTCCTTCATCTGCTGCCTGCTGTGGGCTTGTGTGCTTTGTCCTAGGTGCATGGCCCCTGTCCTGGGTATCAGAGTGTGTCAGGGCTCATGCCTTTGCCTCCTATGGCCTGGAGGGTCTGAGGTTGTCCTTGGTGGGAGGGGGCAGGACAGCATGGTCTTGCTTTGCAAACCTGCTGAAAAGGAAGGAGACTCCCTGGGGACTTTTTTCCCTTGTTTTAACCAGTGGAGGCTATAAAGGGGAGGTGTTCCTTCTTGTGGCTCCCCACCATAGGGAGGAAGGCAGAAAGGAGGGTAGGTTGGCAGCACAGGACAGCTTGTGGCTGACACTAATCACTGCTAATTCCACTGGGCATAGGATCGAGAGCATTAAATCAGGGCAGGACCAGAGGGGTTTGTGCTAACCCGGCTGTTAGGGCTGAGCTGAAGGAAATCCAACAGCAGAGTCTCTGAGTACAATTTGAAAGCTAGCTCCCCAGAGGGACACACCAGGCCACAAAAGCAGCTTGCAAGAAATGAGCATTTCAGAAGGGGAATCGAAGTGCCTGTCATGTTAAGCCCGTGGTACCAGAACCCCCTTCCCCAGCAGCTCCCAGACCAGCACTGAAAAGAGTTTTCCAGCGGGATTGCAGAGCTGGGTGGAAAACAAATACAAAACCCCAACTGACAAAATAGAATTTGCTCAACCCCTCGCATGTGGCAGCCAACAGGGGAACAACTGCACAGAGAGCAGGCGCCTAAAGCCTACTGCAGCACGTGATTCTAGATAGGATATGAAGGACAGAGGCAAACTTAAGGTGGAATTTCTTGTTTTTTCTCCAAATCACCCTTGGAGGGATCTCTTTTCAGCAGTGTGTGCCATGAGCGCCAGGTCGGCTCCTGTAGTTAACTTCTGACTTCAGCATGGCTTTTGTAGCTGAGGAGTATGGTCAGGAAATTAGCTGGAGGCCAGACCATGCATGGGATTTTGCCTGCGGTGCTTCCAGTCAGCATTTGGCCCCGTTTTAAACGTTCCTGGTCACGGGACTCCAAATCACACTTATGAATTTGCAGTTTAAATGTAAACCAGAGTTGTGCGTCATGCTAAAATGCCTCGTGACTGGTGGGGGATATTTGGGGCAAGGGATGGTGTCAGGAGGCAGGACGCTGTCTGGATAGCAGCAAGTGGAGGCTGCTGAAGGCTTTGCAAGCTCCTGCCCGGTAGCACGTTTCCTTCTGCTACCTCACCATAAATTCCTACCCTCGGTTTCAATGTTATCAGCAGGTGTCTATCTCACAGGCTAGTTGAGGCTTAGCCAACGAGAAACATGCTGTGTTTATAGAGTAGCTCCCACCGAAGTTTTAAAAAGCCTTTGTTAACCTCTTAGTGGGACTGTGAAGTTGCGTGTCACTACTGTCATTTCAGTCACGGGGGGAAACTGAGGCATGGAGGCCAAACGGCCCTCCTAAGATCAGCACAAAGCTAAGAGTAGTGCCAACTGGCCCTGTAACATAGACCCTTGTAGTGCCTTGTCCCTTGCCACCTTTGCCATACTGCTCTGCAGAGCCCCTTGGGACAATAACATCATGTAATTTCAAGAGATCCAGCGAAGAGGAACCGACTGGCAGGGAAAACTGCCTCCTTTCTTGCTGGCTGTGCTCAGCCCTGCCTGGCCTCTTCGGCCGCTAACAAAGCATTTTTCTTTTCCCTCTGGAGTCTTTTGCAATTGAAATCGAACCAGTAAGATCACGCTACTTTTCAAAAGCTGCAGCCTGATTTCTCATGTTTACTAGTGTCCGCACAAACAGCCTTAACTTTTAGACACTCTTAAAACTCTGGCATTAAACGTGGGGTTTTTATTTAAATGCAAGCACTAATGCTTTGTACCCAAAGGGCTCCTGTTGGTCTAGTCCCCTTGCTGGCAGGAGGCTGGGCTGGAAGTACAAGTACAGACTCATTTTTAGAAGCAGTCACTTTACAGCCTAACATGAAGAATCCGACCCTGATTTTAGCCAGGGATCACTTAACGAAAAGCAGCCACCTCGCTGCAGGCACAGAGACACACTCGGGCTCCTGAGAGAAGTGCCAGCACGCAGTGCGTAGCAGCAGCTAGGAGAGCTTACAGCAAGGATTTCTAGGATCACGCAGAAGCAAACAACCACCAGCTTTGAAAACCACCCAAACTGTGCCGGCAAAGAATAATATGGATACAGATCCAACCAAGACCCCCTGCTGCCCACTTTGAATGGCTGGGACTGCTTCAGACCCAAAACAACTGCAGCTGATCCACATCTCCCCCCCACGCACATCATGTGATAGTCCTGCCCGAGTGATTTAAGCTGCTGGGGCTCAGTGCTGAGTCACCCTGGGCTGTGCAGTGTCCTGCCTGGAGGGGCTGGTGTCTACAGCATGAAGCAAGTGAGTGCTCCTCTCACTGGGCTGCTGTGATGGGAAGGGTTTGGCGTGTGGGGGTTTGGGGCTTGGTGCAGTGGGGTGCCAGAAGAAAGGGAAGAGAAGGATTAGCTGAGAGGAAATGCTGGGCTGATACATGGCTGCGGAAGGAATGGTCAGGGCTGATCAGCTGCTTTTCTCTTGCCTTTTTCTAGCTTATGTTGCTGAAGGGGGAAAGGCTGCTTTAATGGATAGCTACATGTTTTAATGCCCTAAAAGTCTGGGATTGTTTACAGTATCTGAATAACTTTATTTTTCACCCCTGTATTTTTCTTCTGGAAAGAATGCCTTCTAGGTATAGGTCTGAGGCTATCTTTAACTAAAGAGCAGATGAACTGAGCAGGGCTCTCCTTCTCTTGAAAGGATCCATTCTACATTAAGGCTGTGTGTCAGGTTGTACTTGGGCAGCCTAGTTACAGAAAAAGAAATAACTAATAAATACAGGTAAGCAGTATTAGTAGGTGCTCTCACTACCATGGTGATAAGTAGTTTAGTGACTGGGGAAATCTGACCTCAGCTGTGAGTAGAGCAGGGAGTAAACATGAGGGTGAGACCTGTTTTGGGCAGAGAGGTAGTGAGCTCCAGAGCTGCCTGTGGCTGATGGGCATGTGCTTCCAGAAGCCAGGAAAGGAGGATTTCATGTAACTTGATTTGGGATCAGTCCCTGCCCTTCCCATCATCTAGGTATGCAGAGCTCAGCACCAGTGTGCCTGATTCTGGAGTACAGGCTGTGGGGCACAGCCTGAATTGTGCAGTCTGACCTAGCAAAGGTGCAGCCTCCCTTTAGTGGAGGTGCTCTGATACCATTAAGTGCCACTTTGGGGGTATGCAGCTGAGGGAGAGAATAATGTGTTCCCTGAAAAGGGACAAGCTGTCTTATTTGTGCTACAAGCCTTCCTTGGGGTGTCTGCATCTTGCTTTATGGCTTGTAGCTAAGAGTGCACTTCCCTGGTCCCGGGCTAACTCCTATCGTTTGGTATAGCAGGGACTGGTGGTCACTCAGCTGGATGTCCAGCCTGGAGAGTGCATCAAGGTCAAAGGGAAGATTCTGTCGGATGCTAAAGGGTAAGTGGGGAAATAAGGAATGGATGCACGTCCCACTGGGAGAGACCACATGGGATCCTGCCTCTTCTAGAGGTGACTGAGCTCCTGCAGGGCCTAGCCTCTTTGCATGGAGCAGCTGTGGCTGGAGCTCTTTTGGGATGTTGGGGAAGCTCCTCTGTACTGCCTCCCTGCAGCTCTCGCTGTCTTCCAGGTTTGCTGTGAATGTAGGGAAGGACAGCAGCACTCTCCTGCTGCATTTCAACCCCCGTTTTGACTGCAAGGGGGATGTCAACACTGTCGTGTGCAATTCCAAGGAAGATGGTGCCTGGGGCGAGGAGGACAGGAAGACTGACTTCCCCTTCCAGCACGGTGACAAGATTGAGGTGAGGCCCTGGGAATGTGTGCAGCTTCTGGCACAGACAGCAGTACCAGTACTGCGAGGGTGGAGCTTTTAATGCCATTCACCATTCCTGAGATGGAGAAGGGGGCAGGCCTGGAGGGAGCTGGCCCCAAGACAAGAGTCTAGCAGAGGAACTGAGGGAGCATGTAGCCCTGCTCATGTGAGTCAGTGCTCAGCAGCTCAGGGGTGGTAAAAATCTCTGCACTGCCCTGCCTTTGCAAACATACCAATATTAACTAGCTTATCATTTCAGCTGTATCAGTCTCATCCCTTCACTACAGAAACTTTGGGCTGTCCTTGAGCAGAGCAAACAGATTCCTCCCCTTGGTGCCTCTGCTGGACAGGGAGGAGCCAGAAGCCACTGGCTTCATCACCTGTGGAGACGCTATCAGTCATCCCGCTGTGCCCAGGCTGGAAGGAGTAAGGAGCCTGGCCTGTCAATGACGATGTGTTGTTCTTCCCTGTCATGGTTCTCTACAGATGTGCATCTCCTTCGACGTGGGGGAGGCTACAGTGAAGCTGGCTGAGACGGAGTTTCAGTTCCCCAATCGCCTGGGCATGGAGAAAATTGAATACCTGGCTGTGGAGGGTGACTTTCAAGTCAAAGCCATCAAGTTTAGTTAACTGCTGTGGCTTGTTTTGTTTTTTTTCCTGTCACCTCCCACACAATGAAATAAACCCAAACTGGCCATGGCTGCTTGCTCTGCTATTTCCTGCACTAATCTGCTTGCTAATGTGTGTGTGCTACAGGGATGGACAGGGGGAAGCAGGGATGTATGCCCTATGTTGCTATTTAAATGGCAGCTGATACTGAATTTGGCTTGATGACATGCCATGCAAAACATGAATTACTGTGACTCAAGCTCCCTTAGCAGTAGGTGCTTTCCTGACCTTGCTTCCTGCAGGAAGTGGTCCCTGGCTATTTGGTCTCTCTCCTCTGGGACTGGTCCCAGCCACTCAGCTGTGGTGGAGAGGCTTAAGGAAGTGTGTTGGGCCACCTCTGTCTAAGGGCACTGCTCGTTTTCCCCTCTGGCAATGCAGGACATGGCTTGGGCTCATGCAGGCAGCTTGGCTCTCTGGGAATGTGCTCAGCAGGAGCTTGCATGGCATGAGGGAGCTTCCTGAGCAGAGAGAGGGCAGGCAAGCCAGGCTAACTGCACTTGCTGGGGAAGAGACAGGGCGTGAAATGTCAGTCCTGGAGTGTGACCAGATCAAGGGTGGAAAAGATACTCAACAAGGTCTTGTAATAGCATCTACACTGTATCTACTGCTTCATGGATTGCACTTCCCTAGCACTTGGCTGCTAAGTTCCAGATGCATCCTGGAACTGCTATATCCAGTAGTTGAAAGGGGGAGGTATTAAATCCTGAAAGCACCAAGTACAGCTAGCTGCAGTTAGGTGGGAAAGTGAGGGAAGCCTCATTAAGGGTACCTTCTGCCTACAACCGCTCAGGCAATGCCTTGAGGTATGTCTGTTCCTGCCGTTCCCAAGCTGCCAGCCAGCCGTGGCTACTCATGAGAGTTTGAACTGGGACACTGCAGCATTTGAAGACCTCGAAAGGTAACAAAATCTTCCTCTTGGAGTGCTGCAGGTGGGCTTCCTGGGGTGGGGAGCTGGGGCACTCCTGTCCCACTGCAGCTCAGCTGGCGGAGGATTGCTCTGGTGTAAGGTCTCACTGTGGCCAAATGCTGCTGAACTGGTGCAATTTGACTCCCCTGGGTAATCACTTGCAGCAGGGCTGTTGGGCACCAGGGCTGTATTTGCTAGTCCTGTCCTCTGAACAGCTGAGTAGCTGGGCCAGCTGCTGGGGCAGGGGAGTATCCCTTTGCAGAGCACTTCATCTATTTGATGGCCTTTTATGGAGAGGCTACAGGCCTGTTTCTCTTGTGCCTCCAATAAAAGTGCTTCAAGGCAGTAACAATATCTAGGTCTGTGTTGCACCAATTAGCTTGGGAGTGCTGGGAGGGTCTTGCCCTGGAAGTGGATTTGACTTGCTCACGGCTTGCCTTCAACTTTCTGACCACCTCTGTTACCGAGGCCTTTGGTCTGCCCTGCTGGAAGGGTTTGGGTGGAGTTGTGTTGTGCTAGTAGCCCTAGCACAACATAGTAGTCGTACAGGCCCCATAGTAGCCCTACAGGCCCCAGCATGGCTTTCTGTCCCTGCTGGCCTGGGAGAGAGGCTCTTCTCCCAAGGGAACTGGCCATTTGCCTCCTTCCCTGGAAGTCCAAGATTGCTAAATGTGTCTAGCCTACCTTGCAGCCATGAGCTGGTTGCTGATGCTGGCTCTAAATCTTGCCCTGTGTGTACTGTATTATTTACAGGATCCAAGCCAAGGGTAAGACAAATCCCAGCTGTGCTTTCTGTTATCAAATATCAGTCCTGAGCTTCACAGAAGGCTATTTGCTCTTTGGGGTGTGTGTCCAGGCATGGGAACAGGATGGCTTATGAGTAATTCCTCTTGCTCTTTATTTTTCAAGCTGGCCAAAGGCACATGGGATGCTACAGCATTCAAGCTCCTGGAGAAGTACAAAGCCTTTCTGTTGCAGAGAGACAGGTGAACTTGCTGCTTGTCCCTCAGCCATCTGTTCCTGTTTGGTCTCATCTGATTAGGTATGCACATGTCAGTACTTGAAGGCTAGAGTGGTGTTTTCTTTTCTTTTTTTTCTTCTTTCTTCCTCCCCTCCCTTCTTTCCCAAAGCTTTGGAAAGCCTGCAGTCCTCACTTTGAGGTAGGTTAGCCACAAATATTCCTGTCCACTCAGGACACAAGTATAGTCTTCATGGGAGCTCTTCCCCTTCTGATCCTTTCCACCCAGATCCTTAGGCTTGTCTTGCTTTCTAACACTGGAAGCTACCACTAAGGAGGCTGTAGCAGGAAGGAAGCATGGTTTTACCAAGGCTTCCTGCCTCTGGTGTTTTCTGATGCCCCCAAACTGGAAATATTCTTGATCCTGTAAGTGACATGAGTAAACAGGCACAGTAAAGTGTAAGTTCTGTGGCTGGCTCCTACAGGAGTGCAAGACTTAATTTCTGCTAGAGAGATTTGGAAAAGGTGATAGCTATTCCTCACTGCAGGCAAAGAGTTACCCTGAATGCAAAAGCAGGGCTGCCCTTGCATAGTATGTTCTCTTCTCTGAAATACTTGGTGTATTTGCCTTTCCAATAGTTTTCTGGGGAGATCAAAGTCCTCCTTGCTACAGAGGAGGTATGAAAAGCATTGCATTGAGCATGGCTTAACATATCTTCCCTGCATCTATCCAAGCCAAGTCTGCATTCAGTGCCTCAGTCAAGCAACATGCCCCAACAGATGCTAAAAACTTAGAAAAACCCTGTCCTGGGGTTACCTGAGCCCTGAGAAGAGGGTTTATTTAATAAAAATAAACAGTAAAAAAAAAAAAAAAGCCAAGGGGGTCTGCATCTCAATCCCATGTCCCCCTTCACTGGGAATCCAAGCTGTACCACTTTTACTCTGTAACATCATCTCTGGAAGACTGAAAAACAGTTTTGAGGCTTTGTGTTGCAATGTGAATGCAAATAAAGGGTGTTTTGTCTTGTCCTGAGCCTGTAGAAAGGAGAACAAATGTGCCAACTGCAGGAGATATGAATTTGAAAACAGCACATGTGACAGAAGAATTAAAACCCCATACAGGGCCTGATAGAGCTGTGACAGGCAAGAGTCACCAGCAGCTTCATCTCCTCAAACACCACCTCTCCCTCAGCACGGTGCACTAACTCCACATGGCAGAAAGAGGCCAGGCAAGCCGAGCTGCAGGGTTCAGGATGGGCTTGAAGGGCAGTCATGGGATGTGGTGGAGCCCAGGAACCACAAGCAGGGTGAGTGTCTGCAGCATGAAGAGGGCAAGTGCAAGGGAAGCCAATGGGCAATCAGGGTGGTAGGGGGGAAGGTGAATGGGCCCTTTCCCAGCCAAGGGGGCACGAGAGCTTTTTTTTTCCAGCAATGGACTTGCAAGAAAGCATCTTCTGCAGTGCAAAGCAAAAAGGCACTGACCACCCTGTCCCTCTGCTCCCTGCCCTTCCCTCCTCTGGCCCCAGTCTTATCTTTGACACGCAGGCAGGAGCTCCTGCAACTCTATTCAGAAAATTCATCCTAAAACATCAACTGTGTTATCCGCCATCCCTCTTGCAGCGCTGCGCGCTCAAGCCCCCACTGCACGTTGCCCCTGTTCCTCGGAGGAAATGGTGACATTTTTTTCCCTGCAGGTGCTCAACTGCTTTTGCTCTGGGATGGAAAAATACGTATTTTATATACATATATATATATATATATATCACACACACTCACCAATTTGGGGAGGGCTGGGGGGCTCCCTGGGGCCCTGCGCAGGCAGCAGTGCCTCGTTAGCTGCCGCCACCTCAGAGGTGTAAAAAGTAAAATGGCGGCCAGTGCTTCCTGCCCATCTAAAATGGCGTCTCACTCTTCCCGCCATTTCCTGAGGTGATGCAGCAGCTCCAGCAAAGTCCTGATGCCCTTCAAAACCCCTTTTGATGGCCTTCCTTTTGCAAGCAGTGCCCTTTATAAGCTTGCTAAATGTTTTCCCTCCCTCCCCCCCCTTTTTTTTAATTGCAACTGTATTTTTGCCTAGTGAAACACCTTGAGAACCATTTTGGTCAAATGAGTACCAAAAAGTAAGTACCTCATGAGCCTTTTTGGATTGTGACTCTAATGCTTCTTTTCTCCCTAGGAAAACCCAAAGGGAAAAAGCACTACTGGTTGTGCCCAAAGGGTATTGTGGGGCAGAGCCTCCAGTGACCATGTATTTTACCATTGGTGCTGGGTAAGTGCCAAGAAGTAAATGCATATATCAAGTAATCATAGGTGCTGCTGCAGGAGAATAGTGGCTTTTCTGAGAAGCTGCAGGTAACTGCCAGGTAAAGTCATGGCTGCTGCTTGCAAAAAAAAAAAAAAAAAATTCCCAAAACACAATGGTGCAATGGGCTTAAAGAAGGCAGGAGGCTTGAGCAAAAGTCCTAGTAGGCTGCAAAAAAGCTGGTCAAATGCTGTCTTAGGTTTCGTAGGTAACTTATATGGAAGATGCTGTGTCAAAGCTTATAGTCAACCGGTGCTAGCAGGGAAATGCTCCTCCCCAGACTCAGTCCTGAGCAAAGCATCTGACACAAATTCCTTGTGACTGTCCGCTGCCTGAGGGGCGCGTTTAAAAAAAGCCCATTGCAGTCCGGGTGACTGGCTCTGCACGGCGCTCGCTTGCGGCACGTGGACAGGACCTACGAGTGGCACGTTGTTGAAAGCATGCGAGGGCTCACTGAGAGCTATGCTGAAAAGACCTAGTTGAATTTGCCTGCGTGGTGCGGACAGCCTCACAGTACACCTCTACTTCTCGCAGCGTCGGCTCTGGATGCCGCGACAGCAACGCAGTGGGTAACTGGCAAAGCCCTGCAACACCCTGGCCCAGCGCCTTGGTGCCATGGCTACAGCCGGACCAAAGTTGGTGCCACCACACTGATTTCAGCGGGCTTTTGGTCCTGAGGGGTCCTTTGAAGTGGTTAATCACTGAGGGTGATGCTTTTGGGAACGTGACTTCAGTCTCAGTGAAACCCATGTCCTGATCTCTTCAGGTTTATTTCAGGGGGAAAAGCCAGTCAGTAGTGGGTAAACTGGTAGCTCCCTACTAGTAAATGAGATGATAACTAAGAGTGAGAAGGGACAGGATGGGGAAGGAGGTAGTGCAGTAACACCTTTTGAGAGAGGGCATCCTGAGCCAGGAAGCCACCAATGAAGAAATAAGCAGGGCAACAGTGATGCAGGTTCCGTGCTAAGTGAGGCGGTGTGGTGGGGGGGGAAAGGCTGCATGCTCACCTGGCATTTGCTTCTGTAACGTGGTGCCATAGCCCATGAGGCACCCTGTCACTCTATGCGCAGCCAGCGCTTACCTTACAGTGCACTGTAAGTCAGAAGTGTGACTGCTGTGTCTTTGCTAGGATTTTTCTTGGGCTAGCCAAGCTAGATGCACTTCGTCTGGTGTGGAACTGCATCCTGCGTCGCTTCCCAAAGCCTTTTCCTGCGTCACTGTGCACAAGGGCACAGGTCAGTGTACGCTGGGCAGCTCAAACCCCTTCAGGGCTATCACCCAAGGTGCAAAGTCACCTTCCCAAAGGGAAAACTGGCCTCTGTTACTCATCTTAGTGCCTCTATGCTGTATGCTGCCTTCTCAGCATCTGTGTTTTTTGTTAGTGGCTCCTTCCTCCCATCTCATGATGAGAAATCCCCCAAGGAAACACATCAGCAAGAATACAGCAGCCTTGCATGTATGTCTGTGTGCAAAAAATATGCTGAGAGAAGAGGAGGAAACTTCATGAGCAACCAGGGCAAGGCCAGCTGCATCTCCTGCCTGCAAACATGTACAGAGTTTGCCTGTCCCTTGACTCTTGTCCTGGCAGCCTCCAAACACACCAGTGCTCACTGCTTCTCCAGGCTATGCACTAGGAAAAGCCTTAGAACAAGGGAGGGAAAGGACTGCTGGACACTGCTGCCTTTGGGGAGTGAGGTTAGCACGTGTATGTAATGGGACCATTTAAAAGTGTCAGAAAAAAACAAATGTGCTTCAGCTCTTAAAATTTCTCTAAGCACATATGAATATTAGCTTTTAAACACAATTAATAAACAAACCTCAAACATGTGGAGCGTTGTTCTCAATTTTCCTCCATTCCAGGGTTCCCAGTAGCAGATGTTTTAAGTTTGAAAATATTTATTTTTAGCAAATATGTCCAGTGTGAACCACTGTTTCAGGTGAGATGTATTTGTCATTTGTTCTTAACATGCCCTAATTTTTAACTCCTGCTGCAGCTGTGCAGGGAAGTGCCCTGGTCCACGAGGCAGCACAGGCTGGAGAAGAGGTGGCAACGTAAACCATGCTTGCTGCAGTTAACACCGAATTTCTACAGTGTAGCCCCACAACTGTAGCCTCAGGTCTAAAAGCCTTCTGTATCCAGACCTAAGACTCTGACTTGACCCAATAAGCTAACAATGTGTAGCTCAAAACTACTAAATTCTGCCCATGATGCTCCAGTCCCAAGAATGGATGTGATTGATCCGTAATGCTATACACCTTTTCTGAGAGTACATGGGAAAAGCGAGGTAAGATAGAAAGCAAGGGACTATTTTCCTTCTTTGTCAAAGGCACTTAACACTGACCAAGCCAGGAAATGTAATTTTTAGTTTGTGTCAAATACCTGTCACATACTTCTGTTCTTAGCCAACCACCGTCTGATTTTTGAACAAGGCTCTGCAAGGCTTCTTCTTTAACGATAAACTTAACACATCTTCACATCTCTCACAACAGAAATAGAGGCTTTAAATCATTTTTTACCTGAAGAGCTGAGTTGTATTAAAAATGAGAATGACTATCACTTGCCTCATTATCAGATGCTTGTATATACAGTGGTAGCACTTGTAGGACTTCTAGCAGGAATCCCTGAACTTCATGGACTGCAGAAATGTGCCAAACATCTGAGTTTCTTGTAAACCACCACAAACCCACAACCTCAAGCTTTTTAGATGGAACTCCTACAAAAGAAACAGTTTTACAAACTTTTTTAGTAAAGCCTTGTATACCACCTGCTTGGATGGAAAGCTCTTCCTGCCTGAGAGCTGAGGGTAGGACTGTAGGACTGACTGTCTTAGCAAAGGGCTAACTACCTGGAAAATGCAGTGTTGGGTGGTCCAAAACTATTCAGAGAGGCGTGCCGGATGTTTTTGATTTATTTTGGTAAATGCAAGGTGAAAAGGTTGCTGTTAAAACAAAACAAAAACTGTATTAAAAAAACTTTTAAAAATGCTGAACTTTTTTTTTTAATTTATTGTTAGGCTTATTATGTAAAGGACAACTTAAATGCTTCTATTGGCTTGGAAATCACACTGCTCTACTTTTTTAGGGGGCTGCCCCCTCTGAAAAGTAGGGTTTCTTTCCTTTTTTTTTTTTTTTCTCTCCTTGATTTGACTATTAAGGCATAAGAATTGGGTTTTCCCCAGCTACTTTGCTACTTCTGCTTAGAGTTCCCATGAGATGCTATGTGGGCCTGGGCGATGTTCAAGTTCAGAAATAATGCAAAGGACACATTTGCTGTCATCACAAGTTCGGTGCTTCAAAAAGCATTAAAACACCAGGTTGGGCTGACTAGGAAATAATCTAGTAGTTCTTATGGTAGGTTCCTTCCTACCTACCTACCCAGGGCAAGAGGATATTATCATTAGCTATGTGTGACTTCTGCGACTGGGAAGAGAATATTGGATTTTAAATTAATGCCTCTTCTGGCATGTAAAATAATTTCTGATGAAGTAGGTTCAGAAAAAGGACATATGCCTATATAAAAAAAAGAATCCTAACGTATATCATCCCTTCAGAAATATAGCTTATAAATAATGCCGTTAAAGAACCTTCTCGCATCTCACTAAAATGACTTTAGGCTGCAGCAGTGCTATGGATCGTGACCTTAATTATTTAAAACAAAGATAGGCTTGCCCATGAGGTCAGTCCAGACCTGGATTCATTGCTTCATGCTAACCTGGAGTCCTGTAATGCAGCTTCTTGTAAGTTTGAATTCCAGAATGATTTGAACACAAGATCCGGAAGAAGAAAGATTATATTTTCCTAGTCAAAATCTCCTCTGCAAGGGCACCTACTGGTATATTTGGCATGTGTTGAAGCAGGTTGAGGCTTCTTCTGGTAGCTCTTTATTATATTAAAAAAAAAATCAACAACAACAAACACCAAGAGATGTTCCAAGCTAATCCGTGACTATCTTTGGGGTTTCCTCTTTTTGTTAAGGTTTTCACAAAATACAAAATTAAATGTCTTTTCTACATACAGAACAAAGTAGAATCAAGTAACTGATTATAATATGTACAAAAACTTACACATTCTGTTTTGTTCTTTAAAAAATATAAATATTATTAATGTTCAGGAGAATGGGTGGTTTTATTTTTAAGGCTTCATTCTTTTAGATCCTTCATTATTTAACGAGGTGCCAGGCAGGCAGGAAAGGGAAGGAAAAAAGGAGGTCACGATTTTATTAAAGGTAATGTGTTTATTTCTCATGAGGCTCTTCCTCATCTCTGGCAGGAGAAGAAATAGCTGAGTCCCTTCCAGACTGATTTACGTTTCCAGGAAGCAGG